AAAGACACCTGTCCACCCCACAGTCAGTCAGATGCCAACTACCACCATGGGCAAAAATAAAGAGCCGTCAAAAGACACCAGAGAAAAAATTGTGGACCTCCTCAAGGCTGGAAAGGGCTATTGCCAAGCAGCTTGGTGAAAATAGATCAACTGTTGGAGCAATTGTTAGAAAATGAAAGAGGCTAAAGACGACTGTCAGTCTCCCTCGGACTGGGGCTCCATGCAAGATCTCACCTCGTAGGGTATCACTGATGATAAGAAAGGTGAGAAATCTGCCCAGAACTACAAGGGAGGAGCTGGTTCATGACATGAAGAGAGCTGGGACCACAGTTTCAAAGGTCACTGTCGGTTGAACACTACGCCGTCATGGTTTCAAATCATGCATTGCATGGAAGGTTCCCCTGCTCAAGTCATCACATGTCCAGGCCCGTCTGAAGTTTGCAAATGACCATCTGGATGATCCAGGGGAGGCACGGGAGAAAGTCATGTGGTCAGATGAGACCAAAGTAGAACTTTTTGGTCTAAACTAAACTCGTAGTGTTTGGAGGAAAAAGAAAGATGAGTTGCATCCCAAGAATACCATCCCTACTGTGAATCATGGGGTGGTAACATCATGCTTTGGGGGCGCTTTTCTGCGAAGGGGACAGGACAACTGCACTGTATTTAGGAGAGGATGAATGGGGCCATTTATTGTGAGATTTTGAGCAACAACCTCCTTCCCTCAGTCAGAGCATTGAAGATGAGTCGTGGCTGGGTCTTCCAACATGGACAACGACCCGAAGCACACAGCCAGGATACCCAAGGAGTGGCTCCATAAGAAGCATATCAAGGTTCTGGAGTGGCCTAGCCAGTCTCCAGACCTAAATCCAATAGAACGTCTTTGGAGGGAGCTGAAACTCCATGTTGCTCAGCGACAGCCCCGAAACCTGACAGATCTAGAGGAGATCTGTGTGGAGGAGTGGGCCAAAATCCCTGTTGCAGTGTGTGCAAACCTGGTCAAGAACTACAGGAAACGTTTGACCTCTGTAATTGCAAACAAATGCTTCTGTACCAAATATTAACACTGATTTTCTCAGGTGTTCAAATACTTATGTTCAGCAGTACAAGACAAATAAATTCTTTAAAAATCATACAATGTGATTTCCTGAATTTTTTTTTTAAATTCTGTCTTTCAGAGTGGGAATGCACCTACAATGTGAATTTCAGACCCCTCCATGATTTCTAAGTGGGAGAACTTGCAAAATCGCAGGGTGTTCAAATACTTCTGTTCCTCACTGTATGTATGAATGTAAGTTAGGGACCTTAGAGTGTACGCTCCTTGAGGGTTAGGGACTGATGTGAATGTACAATATATATGTAAAGTGCTGCGTAAATTTACGGCACTATATAAGTACCTGTAATAATAATAAATGTTTATTATTTCTGAAAAAAAAACAAAGCTTTAGTGTCACTTTAAGATAAACAACATTTTTTAATTCTTTTGGTGATGGCTTGTCTGGCATTGGGCTTTACACTTTACTCATAGAAGCAGCCCATGGATTTGGGGTACCAGCTGTACTTTCTACACAACCATGGCCACAAACAATTTCAACTGCTTTTACCCAGTTTTCAGTTTCAAAAAGATTGACAGGTTTGTTTCTTTTAACAAATTTAATAGGAAGCGTTGATGCATTTTGTTGTTATTGTGGTTAGTAGATTCACTCCAATATACATAATATGTAGACCTTTTGAAGCCTCCCTTCAGCTGCCCAGAGAAGGCAGAATAGGAAAAGTACAGTATACGTACAACGTGTTATATCAAACAATGCAGTCATTACTGGGTAGTCTGTGTTTTTAAAAGAAATTTAGCTCCACTGGGTGTGTGTGTCAGTGCATCTGGTGGGTGTCAACTCCTTCAAGGTTGACAATGCCTTAGAGCAGAGGTGTCAAACTGGCGGCCCTCCAGCTGTTGAGAATCTAAGTCCCATCATGCCTCTGCCTTTGGGAGTCATGCTTGTAACTGTCAATCTTGCATGTCTCATGGGACTTGTAGTTTGGCAACAGCTGGAGGGCCGTCAGTTTGACACCCGTGCCTTAGAGCAAGGGACGCCAGTAGAATGATGTCACTGCTCTAGGGATTCAGTGTTGTTGTGGAGCTGGCACAGAACGACACACCCACCAGCACTTTGTAGTCATGTGACCCTTTAAAAAAAGAAGATATACAAAAGTACATTTACATTGATATTTCTTACAAATTGTATACAACAAGTAAAAAAGCAGTGGGGAGGCAATGTTTAAAATGTTGTTTATGTTTGCCTTCCCTTCTACTTTAACCGCTTCCTGACCACTCTGTAGCAGAAATACCGCTACAGGGCAGCACAGGTGCACAAAATCACGTATATATATACATGGTTTTGCATTTCTGGGTAGGGGCCCTACCCGCGCCGTTGTTCATGGCCATGGCTGACAATCACCGGGTCCCGACCGGTGATTACTCACCAGCGCCCGGTGATTTCCGAGGATCTGCGATGGGGAGGAGAACTGTTTTGTTTACTAACAGTTCTCCTCCCTGTCAGCTAGGGCACACTGCTTTGGATGGCTGTGCATAGTACAGCCATCCAAAGAAGAATGATTAAAGTGAAGCACACTGACACCACCCCCTAGTAAAACACTCCCAGCACACAGTTAACCCTTTGATCGCCCCTCATGTTAACCCCTTCCTGCCCAGTGCAATTAGTACAGTGTCAGTACTTTTTTTAGCACTTATCACTGTATTGGTGTCACTGGGGATGTCAGTGACACCAAGTCAGTTCCCCCCAGTGTCAGAATGTCCACCACAGTCCCGCTATAAGTTGTTGATCGCTGCCATTACTAAAAATTAAAAAAATCCCAGTATATATACCGCAATTTGTAAGTGCTATAACTTCATGTAAACGAATTAATTTACACGTATTGGGATTTTTTTTAGCAAAGACATGTAGCAGAATACATTTTGGTGTAAATTTATGACAAAATTTGATTTTTTAAATTTTTTTACTGGACATGTTTAATAGCAAAAAGTCAAAAATATAGATTTTTTTTTCCCAAAAATGTTGGTCTTATTTTTTTTATATAGCGCAAATAATAAAACCGCACAGGCAATCAAATACCACCAAAGGAAAGCTCAATTTGTGGGAAAAAAAGGCCGTAAATTTCATTTGGGTGCAGCATTGCATAACCGTGCAATTGTCATTTAAAGTAACGCAGCGCCATAACGCAAAAAATGGCCTGGTCAGGAAGGGGGGTAAATCCTCTGGAGGGCAACTAAGCCCACAACAGTAAAATCAGTCTGTATATGCAGTAAAGCATGCTTATTATACTCACTGTGGAACCTATGGGGTTAATTCTAAGCGTTGTGTAAAAAAGCCTCTTGATCCTTTCTTCTCTGCACCTGCTCTTGTTCAAATGTCCATGTCTTATCGCCTGATAAGAAAGATTGAACCCGTAGCCCTTCTGCACATGCTCAGTTTGGTGTGTATTGCTAGAGAGAGTGCATGTGACTCTTGGGAGAGTGCATGTGATCAGCACAGGGCCAAGTAGTGCTGTCCAGACAGAGGTCAGCGGTTTTGCATCCTCCTAGAGCAGAAAGAAAACTCCTCCTACAAGCTTTAACCAGTGCTCTGCTGAACACAGACAGAGGTCACAGCTCTAGCTGCTGATGAGAAAAGGTATTTATCAGTTTATACTTACTAAAATAATTGCACTTCCATGTTCTGTGTACTGTGGGAGATCAGATACAGGTCCTGGGTTTAGTAACACTTTAAGTTGAAAGATTTACACATTCATTTATTTATTACAGATATTATATAGCGTCAACAATTTACGCAGCACTTTACATACAGTATGTATTGTACATTCACATACATCCCTGCCCTCAAGGAGCTTACAATATAAGGTCCCTATTTCACATTCATACATACACATACTAGGGCCAATTTAGACAGGAGCCAATTAACCTACCAGCATGTCTTTGGGAGTGTGGGAGGGAACCGGAGTGCCTGTTATTTTTCTTAGGCATCATCTTTATCATATTCTTATTATTTTTATTACTGATTTTTGCTTTTCCTTTTTTATTTAATTTCAGCATTGTCACTTCATACAATTTGCAAGATATTAAAGATGCAATTTACAGAAATAATAAACCTTTCCCAGCTTGCTTGCCAACAGTGCGGTATTAGGCATACGTTCTCTTTGCCACACATTCTGATTTAGACTTTTTTTTCTTCACTGCTGAACAACTATTCTTTTATTCGTCCACTTCTTATTCTGCTCTTTCCCCTTTCATTTCAGGAATAATGTGCTCATTTTTCTACCAACGTGGCTCTTTCACTTTCCTTGCAGTTTCATTTCGTTGGTTCATTTCCTAGCTATTTGGCTTCCCTGGTCTCTGCTTCTCCTTCATTTTCCTGACCCTTTATTACACAGGGGTTTTTTTTATATATTTTTATCTTCTTTTCTTCAATCTTCAGTTATTCCATTTTCATTTGTCCGCTTTTTTTTTTTGTTTCTTTCTTTAATCTATAATTACTTTGTTACGGATTTCTCTTTGACATCTCACCTCAATTTCATTTCAATTAATTAATGAATCGTTATTTTAGTTCATTGCTATTTTAATGCACATCACACCACTTCTGTTAAAATATATAAAAATCAACATTTAAAATAGACCTTTCATGAAGAGTCAGGTCCACAAAGTGTATTTAAACTCAAACCCAAAAATGTAATGCATTGCAACTTACCAGTCCTTGGTGTGGTGACTGCATTTTTTTCCAGTGTTTTCCTGTAATTTTCACCGAATAATGCTGCAAATAACACACTTCCTGTCCCTGAGTGGCTATGTCACTCCTTTACTATATCTATGGAGGGAGCCATGGTTGTCACCCCAGGCTGCTCGCCTTATATCAGGGGTCCTCAAACCTTTTAAACAGGGGACCAGTTCACTGTCCCTCAGACCGTTGGAGGGCCGGACGGACTATAGTTTAAAAAAAAAAACTATGAACAAATGCGGACAGGACAGGATGACCAGAGACTGTGGACATAGTACAGGAGATGACCAGAGACTGCAGACATAGTACATGAGATGACCAGAGACTGAGGATACAGTACAGGAGATGACCAGAGACTGCGGACATAGTACAGGAGATGACCAGAGACTGCGGACATAGTACAGGAGATGACCAGAGACTGCAGACATAGTACATGAGATGACCAGAGACTGAGGACACAGTACATGAGATGACCAGAGACTGAGGACATACAACGGTGGCAGGAATACTGGGCCATCCGCTCCATAAGACGCACAGACATTTCCCCCCAAGTGTGTCTTATGGAGCGAAATATACGGTAAATGCAGGACACCATGTTGGGTCAGATCTGTGTACAATGTAAAGAGAGAGGGGGGGATAAGGGGGGGGGGGGGAGAGGAGGAGAGGGGGGGAGAGAGAGGGAGGGGGAGGGGAGTAGGGGGAGAGGGAGCCGAGAGACTTTTCATTTCATAACATTAAGATTCAACTGACAGCTGAGCTTTTCACAATGTATTGAAAATAAATTTAAAAAAACTTACCTGCACTAATGTGAAGGGTGTAAAAAAGGTAGCTGGAGCTGAAGTCTCTGCTCTGCAGCCAGGAGGGGAAGAGAAACACACTTCACGCTGGAAGCCCGGCCCTGACGTCACCGCCCTCTGTCGCTCCCAGCGCGGCCACAGTCACGCATGCGCACTGCTCTCAAGCAGAAGACTGTCTGCCACAGAAGGGAGGGCCGTGCGACAGCTGCATTTACACAGACCAGGGAGAACGCGCCGCAGTCAGGCATGCGCACTGCCCTCTGCTCTCAAGCAGAAGACTGTCTGCCATAGAAGGGAGGGCCACATTACACAGAGCAGGGAGGGCTGTTGGAGGGCCGTATTAAACTGACCCCGGGCCGTAAATGGCCCGCGGGCTGGACTTTGGGACATGCCTGCTATAGGGGGATGAGGGACATTCTAGCGCTGGAGAGTTTGCCCAATACGTTTTATGACATCAGTCGCTTCCTCAGGGGATAAATTGTATATCTAAAAAAGATACATTGGCTTAGATAAAACACAACAACAGGTCATACAGACATAATAAAGGACTTGTAGAGTATATGATAGACTTGCATAATATATCATTATGCAGCAGACAGTCATGGGCCCTTCAGTCAATGAGAGCAGGCCTCCTCTATGTCCCTAATGGGGCAGAAACCATCCAGGGGCCAGATATGGGGGCGCAATATAGGCCAGGCAGGCCAGAACCCAGAGGTACCTCAACAGACTAAATCCCAAATAGGGAGGAGTAGTGAATAGCCAACCAGAGCCTGAATATTTACCTTGCCACAGCGCTGTTATATACAGAGTGGTCCCTTGCATCAAGGAGATTAGAAATAATAATCATCACCTAGCCTGCGATCCTTAACAGGAGGAGGCTTATGTTCAAATAAGAGATATCAGGCTTCTGTAGCGTTGAAGAACGATACAGCTATCAAAAATCCTTTAAAATCAAGAATGAGTTAAATCAAAATAGGGTAGGCATGGGGAGAGCTTTGACAAGCTGGGGAACATTTAAACTTTCTAAGTGAATTTATATAAATGTTTATATTCTGAGGCTATCACTGCTAAGAAAATAAACAAAAAGGAAGTAAAGCTGTAAAAGATAAAATTATACATTAGGATCTTTACAAAAAAAGAAGACAATAGACATACTGTAACAGACAACTGGTATAATGGATAAAGCACGAAAAACAGTTCTAATAAAAGCTGTGAACTTCCCACACATAAAGATGATAAAAAAGTAGGCAATACATTCAGTGTTTAGTTTCATAGGCATGTACAAATTAGAAATGGAAAAGGGGGCTGGTGATTTTTTTAGCAAAATGTATTTATTTATCACTTCCCAATTTGCTAAAGCAGGGCAGGGTACAGTAATCAGAGAAAATGAAAAATAAATAGGGATTAGACAAAGAAAACCGCTCTAGAAGCTGAGACGAGGTGAAGAGAAAATGAGGAAGAAAAACAAGAGAAAGAGAACACACTATATACATAGACACTATAGACATTTAGAGGTAAAGGCAAGACGGCCATCAACTATAATGGTAGCACAAAAGGTTGAAGGCCCAAAGAAATTTCTACATCTATGTTTTCATATTTTAAACTCCATTTTAATGTCCCACCATGAAATTCATGTGGCAGTAAAGACCTCAAGACTCTCTTTTTCTGTGCAGCTATTCTATTTGATATATACAGTCCTTTAGCTGTCTAAACCCTTCACTAGATGAAGCACCAAGTGTTTAGCAGCATTGCGAAAGTATAATATCTAAATCCAAAAAGCAAAAGTGTTATACATTACAGCTTACCCATCCTTAACCTGTTGACGCCGACAGTAAGCTAATATGCGGCCTCTCAGCAGCTGGGCCTTGACGCCGAGTGGCCGCATATTTTCGTACAAAAAGTAAACAAACAAGCCGAGAGCACGCACCCTGCGCACATTTACCAGCACCTCACAGAAAGGTCCCAGTCACTACTTGCGATCGGGACCTTTGCGATCATTTGACTGCTTTGATAGCCAATCAGCGGTCATATGACCCTAAACCCCTCCCCTCCTCCCGCTGTCACAAACCCCTTAAAGGGCCAGGAGGCACCAATGCCAAGGGGTTAAAAGAAGTGGCTGCATTCGTTTTCTTTTTTTTAGGCTTGTTTCTCCTTTATTTTCACCTGGTAATCCTTTGAATAACACACTACCTTTCCCTTTAAGTCTACACTAATTTATCCACTACATCTATGAAAGAAGTCATGGTTGTCACAAAGGCTGAACTCCAAACATGTCTGCCTTGGTTTATCTCCATTACATGGTGGATTGATAGGAATCATGGGCACCACAGTGGATAAATGGTTAGCACTTCTGCCTGGCAGTCATTGGTTCGAATCCCAACCATGGCACAACCTGCCTGGAGTTTGCATGTTCTCCCTGTGCCTACGTGGGTTTCCTCCCACACTCCAAAGTCATGCTGGTAGGTTAATTGGCTCCTGTCTAAATTGGCCCTAGTCTGGGAATGTATGAATGTAAGTTAGGGAGCTAAGATTGTACACTCCTTGAGGGTTAGGGACTGATGTGAATGTACAATATTATATGTAAAGCACTGCATGAATTGACAGCACTATATAAGTACCAATAATAATTTTAATTTACACAACAAAGATAAAGATTTTTGTACTTTCTTTTCAACTCACAGGAAGTGCATTCATGGCAACATCAACAAGTATTTTCTGTTTTCTCTAACAACGTTCTTAATGCAGAAGTCCAGACAAACGTTTTTAATCAAATCTGCTGTGTTTAAAAGTTTGAGATGTACAGTATGGCACTTTAATACTTGTAATTTTTTTGTAATATTTATTCTTTCATTCAGGCTGAATAAAGTAGCTCTCATTTCTTGTGGCTCACTGCGGCTATGACCATTGTGACACTGCAGTTTCTTGTACATGGAAGTCACAGTGTCATTTCTCTGCCCCCCTTGTCCATTCAGGAAATGCTTTGTATGCTGCGAGAACAATGCAAGGCGTTCTGTTAATGGGCAAAAGGAGAGGGAGTGGCTTCCATGTATGAAAGCCACAGCTCGCATAGCCACAGCCGGCTTGTAGTATAGCAAAAGCTGCACTATCCAGTCTGCTTAAAAGTGTAAATATTAAACAAATGACAGCAATCCCTAAAGTGGCACACACCTCATGAGCATTAAAGTGATATTAAATTCATAGTTTTTTTTAAGCACTTTCAGCAGCTGATTTAATCCCTGAGTATGCAGCTTCTTTAACTTTTAAATCCTTGCGTATGTTCCAGGTTAAGGTGTTGCCGTGACCACTGCCCTAGGTTTCCTGTTTCATGGTGGCTCCTTTCCCTTGCAGCATCCAGTGGAGCCAAACTTGCATGCAGCCCCATAGCCTAGGATGGCAGAGTGCTTCCCTGCTCCTTCCTCTTTGCCTTCTCCAAGCTAACTGACTGACTCCAGACTGCACTAGCCACTGCCAATTTTGAAAGCAGAACTGAGAAAGTAGGAACCATCAGCACTGAAAGTTGTAAGCTGGGATAAGAAATCTAACAAATAGTTTACTAGGGAAATGTTTATTTTACTGTGCTCATTGTGTTAAATTAAAAAAATACTTGTGGGCAGGGCCTACTGCACCCATGCACAAGGGGTACCTTTGTCCGAGGGCACGCTCACCAATGTCTGGAACTAGGCGAAGGCTACAGTCATGTGAAGCATCAAACATTAAGGCAGTGCCCCGACTCAGAGATGAGCTCTCACTGTGTGTAGTAAAGATGAAGTTCCTCTGAAAAGTGGTGTCCGGTAACTCTACACACTATGCCTTATTACCTTTTGCATTAGGAATGGTGGACTGAGCCATGCCACCTCCACCAGTCAGCGTACCTCTGTTACCTCACTCCCAGGAGCAGGATGGGGTCCCACCATGCACCAACGCAGTCCCCATGCATGCACATATTTAACTGTTCTTGCTCCCATACCTTGTGACCAGGTCAGGCTGTTCAGGAGGGAGCCAAAACATCAACCCCCTTGCTACTGGAGGTCCTGCCTCCTTACCAGGTACCACGCCCAATGACTGGTTGTTTTGTGAACTTGGTTATACTTAACAGCAGCATTAATCCTTGACTTGCTGAGTCAACCCTGTTAGAGTAGTGTTACTTCATACTCCTACAGTGCTTTAAAGACCCTGGTTCTTTTGGATACACCAAAACCAACATGCACACCTACCTTCAGACCAGGCGAGAAACAGTTAACAAACTTTACTGAATGTGTTTTGCAGCACAAGCGCAAAACACAGTCCAATGAATCCCTCACTAAGTACTCTGATTGTGGCTGCTCAGGCATGCCTTATAAAGGTAAAAGTCCATGGAAGGTAGTGCTTCAGTCTCTTGTGGGAATACAAGGCACAACAGCCCCGCAGAAGATTCCCACGCACGCTCCTTTCTCTCTACAGGCGGATGGTGATGATTAAAAAGGATTACGGTACATATTCCTTTGTGGGTCTCTTTCTTCTCTTCCCATGAGGATGGAGCTTGCCTGGCCAGAGCCTTTCCCCTTTTTATATGACACAGGAAGGAGAGCAGAGCCTTGCAAAAAAAACAGGAAAAGCAGAACTAGAATTAATTCTTCCCTAACCTGGGCAGACTAGCCAGCTCACCAACATAATAAATTTCCCCCTGTAGGCAGCTGCCTACAGAATGCCTGCATACTACTTGAAAGGATAAGTTCACCTATTGACAAAAAATAATAAATGCAGGTAAAAAAAACGTGCATTTATTGTTTTTTTTGTTGCAGGAACCTGAAAAGCATTGCACCAAACGATCAGTAGATCGCTCTGGTGCCATGCAGATCTCCTGAAGACCCGTCAGTATATATGCTTGCTTGTACAAGAAGAATCAATGAACTACCACAGCTCAACAGCACTGTGGTAGTTCATTGAGATCTACAAGCCGATACTTGCAGTTCACAGAACTCGCACAGCCGCGCTGTTTTTAAAAAGTGACAGATTGTACAGGGAACTTCTCCCCATACTGCTGTCACGGGGGTGGAATGGGGCAGTGGCTACAGCATTGGGAACATGGGTGGAACATGTACCATGTTCCCAAGATGAACGTATCCTTTAACTTTTTTTTTTTTACACAGTGGATTTTAATAAAAAATGTTTGGCTTTAACCTAAAAAAAACAAATTGAATACACCCACCATATCTAAGAACTTGCAAGCATTAATATATTAAATTTTTTGCTCTTAGGTTAGATATGCTTTGATAATAATTTTGAAAAGTATATAAGTAGTGTGTAGCACTCTCTAGTGTGCTACTAGTGTTAGTGTAGGTCAGTGTTTCTCAACTCCAGTCCTCATGGACCCCCAACAGGTCATGTTTTCAGGATTTCTATTATTTTGCACAGGTGATTTGATCAGTTTCACTGCCTTAGTAATTACCACAGCTGTTTCATCTGAGGGGAAATCCTGAAAACATGACCTGTTGGGGGTCCATGAGGACTGGAGTTGAGAAACACTGATGTAGGTACATTTATTATGGCATGACCCATGGTAAGTGTGTGAGTCTGTAACTAGGTCAGGTTACTGCCGGTCAGGCTGGGTGACTCAGCAAGTTGGTACTCTATTGCCTCCGCCTGGTTCTGGAGGCCCAGGAATTTTTCCAGAACCCAGTGGAAGGAAGGGGTGGAGACCTAAATTTGCATGTTTATGAAAGCCTGACCAATCCCAGGCTAAGAGGCCCTGGTAGTGTGGTAAGGCTAGCCCATAAATATGGGGGAGTCATGCTAGCAGGGGAATTGAGTGGAAAATGAAGTGCTGAGGAGGCTGTTGGTAGCCTGGGAGGTGTCCCCGAGGTCTAGGGGGGCTTTGCCTCCAGGCTGAGCTCACGCTGGCTCCGGAGCATCCATTCAGCATCACAGTATGAACAGGATCATTGCCTGGAAGCAGTTGGAAGATGGAGGACCAGGGGCGCGGACTGACCATGCGGGCACTGCCCGAGGGCCCGGGGTCAGTATGGGGCCCCATGAAATCCTGGTAGATGGCTGCATTGATCCTGGACTTAATGAAGCACAGTGGACCAACACCAGCAGATGACATGGCTCCCCAAATCAACACAGACTGTGGAAATTTCACACTGGACTTCAAGCATCTTGCAGTGTGTGCCTCTCCATTCTTCCTCCATACTCTGGGTCCTTGGTTTCCAAATGAGATGAAAAAGTTGCTCTCATCAGAAAAGAGGACTTTGGACCACTGAGCAACAGACCAGGTCTGTTTTTCTTTAGCCCAGGTAAGACGCTTCTGACGTTGTTTGTTGTTCAGGAGCGGCTTGACAAGAGGAATACTACATTTGAAGCCGATGTCCAGGATCCGTCTGTGTGTGGTGGCTCTTGATGCACTGACTCCAGCCTCAGTCCACTCCTTGTGAAAGTCCCCAACACTTTTGAATGGCCTTTTCCTGACAATCCTCTTCAGGCTGTGGTCATCCCTGCTGCTTGTGCACCTTTTTTCTTCCACACTTTTCCCTTCCACATAACTTTCTATTAACCACCTCCCGTCCGGACCGTTGTATATAAGCTGCCGAACGGTGGCAGTGCAGGGTTGGGTGGCTGTTTATAAAACGGCCTCCCCTCACCCTGCTTGTGCACGCTCCCTGGGAGAATGCAGCACCACGATCCAGTGCTCGCTGTGTACTCCAGACACAGTGGAACACCAATCGTCAGATGGGACCTCTGTGCAAGGTCCCAATCATGTGATCAGTGATCACATGCAGAGTAGTAAGCAAGATGTCACTTCTGACATCATTGCTTACTACGTGTGAAATCTGTGAATGATCACAGAGGTCACATGGTACAAGGCTATTCACAACAGCCCTTGTACCATGTGACAAGCTGTGACCAATCACAGCTCACACAGTAGTTCTCAATGGCTGCAAGAATGCAGCTAGAGAGAGAAGGAGACATTATTGCTTTTACAGCCTTTATGGGTGTAAAAGCAATCAGTGTAAAAAAAAAAAAAAAAAAATCTTCATCACCCCCCATAAGTAGAGCAGTGTACTGCTAGGGTGACAGTATGTAAAAAAAAAACATAAATAATAATATAAAAAATTTTTAAAAAAAATTTTACAAATTATAATTTTGGTTATAAACTAATTTGAATTATTTTTTGTTTTACTAAAAAGATAACGGAATAAATTTTGGCCAAGATTTATGATGAAATATTACTTATTTGCAAAATTTTATAAGAAAAACACTTTTTTTCAAAATGTTTGGACTTTTTCATTTACATAGCAAAAAAAAAATAAAAATCCCAGTGGTGAATAAATACCACCACCAAAATAAAGCTTTATCTGTCTCAAAAAAATGCTAAAAATTCATATGGGTACAGTGTTGCATGATCGCCCAATTGTCATTCAAAGTGTGATAGCACTGAAAGCTGAAAATTGGCCTGGACAGGAAGGGGGGGTAAAAGTGTCCGGACTGGAAGTGGTTAATGTGCTTTGATACAGCACTTTGGGAACATCCAACTTCTTTTGCAATTACCTTTTGAGGCTTTCCCTCCTTATGGAGGGTGTGAATGATGGTTTTCTGCACAACTGTCAGGTCAGCGGTCTTTCCCATGATGTCGATTCCTACTGAACCAGACTGAGAGACCATTTAAAGGCTCATGAACCCTTTGCAGGTGTTATGGCTTAATTAGCTGATTAGAGTGGGACACTTTGAGTCGAGAATATTGCACCTTTTCACAATATTCTAATTTTCTGAGATTGTAGATTTGGGGTTTTCATGAGCTGTAAGCCATAATCATCACAATTATGACAAATAACGGCTTGAACTATCTTGCTTTGCATGTAATAAGTCTATCTCATATATTAGTTTCACCTTTTAAGTTGCATTACTGAAATAAATGAACGTTTGCATGATATTCTAATTTTTTCGAGTTTCACCTGTAGCTCAATTGTAAGTCAGTGATGTGAGGCTTGATTTACAAATAAGGATCTTTATTTTAGCCATATGACTGTAATTTTCAAACCAGATATTTTGATTTACCTGAAAATAACTATCACTTTTTTTTAATATGTATCCTTTTGTTGGTGTGTTAGGATCGTGAGATGAAGAGCAGGGGACATCACACTATTATTATACTTATAATACATGAAGACAAATATGAAGCAGAAATTTGAACCACCAATAGCAGCCATTTAAAATGTACTCTGTGAATTCACACCAGTACACGCTAAATGCTAACTGATAGCTTCAACGGGATTGGCCAGGTATAGCACATAAAATACTGTACTTACATTGGTCTAAGAAGGACCAATGTAACTATGCAAAATTCAGCTCACCTAAATTTTAACAGACCAAACTGTCCAGCAAAATGGGCAATTAGAGGGTTGAGACAAACCATTTAACGCCGACAGGGGATGCTTATAATGGTCATCTTTTATTCATTTATATAAAATCTTTATACCAAAAGTAAAAAATGGTTACTGTATGCTTAAAAAAGTGTAAGTTGGAGTTAAGCTTACATTTTTTTTATTCAAGTGCATCTAAATCTACGTGTATGTCTAACACTATACTCTCCCTAGGTTGACAATGCTGCTATCCAAAGGTATCTCTGTTGATCCAACATCCAGAATAGAGTCACCCAAAGACAGGAAGTATGCTATTGGCCAGATCAACAGGTGACAATGTTTAAAAAGTAGAAGCATTGTTATCAGCTATGGAAAGAACTAAGCAGACCCTTCGTAAGTCCCCTGGAAGTAAGCAGCTTGCCACCAAAGCTGCCCACAAGTGTGTCCCAGCCACCAGCAGAGTCAAGAAACCGCACCGCTACAGACTCAGCAGTATGGCTCTCTGAGAAATACAATGCTACTAGAAACCCATATTTCATCAGGGAGATTGCCTAAGACCTCAAGACTGACCTTCAATTCCATAGCTCCACTGTTATGGCTCTACAGGAGGCCCGAGAGGCTTATCTCATAGGTCTCTTTGAGGACATCAACCTCTGTGTCATACATGCTAAGAGTGTTACCATCATGGTCAAAGACATACAGTTGGCACACAGGATTCATGGAGGGCGGGCAGAGAAGATCACCAATTCTACACAACCAGGTGAACATAAAGAGAAAAAAATAATACAGCCACCACATTTAGGCATTGGTAAGCTGCAATATATTACATTTTTGCTTTTGGATTTATTATTGCAATAAATGTTGATGCAATAACATTATGTATATGTTTGGTCACTCCAGTTGTCTGTAAAGCAGTAACGAAAGTTTCTGTTTGCTTTGGTGGGAACTTTAGACATTTTTGCTGAATATAAATCACTTGATTGTTTATTTTTTTAGGAACCCAGAACTGCAGGAAACCTCACTTTGCAAACATTTTTTTCATTTCCATACAAATAGAAACGTCGGTCACTATGTTCTAAGGTGGCTGCGAGTTCATATTTGCTTCTTTTCCTGTCCCAATCTTTGCATCACAGTGTTTTTCTTTCATTTTTTTTTCTGTGTTCACTGTGACTTTCATTCCTGATATTCCATTTGAGCAAGCATAGACACCCCCCCCTTGCCATGACAGCAAGGAGTGGTAACTGCATATTTATGCTGGTGCTGCATATATCTCATCTCAATATAGAGTACAAGGTGGCTGTCAGGGTTAGAGACATACATTTGTTTGTCACACTCAGTGGCTGTAAAATGTGATTAATACCAGCAAAATAAGCAGATTTATCTCAAATCATGTTTTCCAATTACACACATATTGATTTTTCAGTGTAATAAAGCAGGTAGGTTCCAGTCTTGCACCTCATGTTTATAACTTCATCATCTATAAAACCTCAATCTTGCTCATTACTCCCTTATCCAATCGCCATCTCTTTACATGCCATTCAGCCTCCTTGCATTTCACCCTTTAATATCCTGCTGCCATCTATGAAATTTATCCATTTATCAGCCCAACAACACTACACAACGCCTATTAATCCCACAGCCAATCATCTCCTCCCCCTCACTCTTCTTTTATACCTTTCCCAAACCTTTCTGCTAATCCTTAAATGCTAAGCATAGTGCAAATGGGCAGTAAAGCATAAAGGTACATAAATCCACATGTTCCATCCATCAACAACTATAAGTTAGCTTTCACTGAAGGAAGCCCTGACCTATTGTACTAAAAATTTATCAGACATTTTAGCTGCAATTCGTTTTTTTTAAAGGGAACATCCATTCAGACAGAACTATTAGGTCAAGTCAATCCATCAAACAGAAATTAAATAGGATAATGTGGTCCTTTGTCTCTATAGCAGTATCTGTATCTCTCAGATTTAAAGAAAACCTGTACTTATTATCCTCTTTGTCAATTTAAGTCAGATTGCATATGTCATCTATTTCTTAAAGAGTAACTAAACCCAAAACCAAAAATGTAATATATTGTAGCTTACCAGTCATTAGATGTGATGGCTGATGATGGTTTTTTTTGCTTGTATTGTATTATATTTATTTTCATCTGGTGATCTGGCCAGTAACACCCTTCTGTCTTAGGTGGGCTGCATTTGCTCCTCCACTGTATCTATGGAGGAGTAACAAAGGCACCCTTGAATGTCAGCATTGTCAATCAGTGTAGAGGGCAGGGGCGGACTGACCATTTGGAAATCAGGCACTGCCCGAGGGCCTATAGGGGGCCCCATGATATGCCCCTGCTACCTTTTTCTTAGGCTTTTTTTGAGTTTGGGCAAGGACACAATGATCCCCTATTGCCCGGGGACCCCATGAGTTGTTAGTCCACCCCTGGTAGAGGGTGAGGGGTAGTAGTGTGGACTTTACATATATGTGACTAACAATTTAAAACCAAACTCCAGGCACCACTTACTAAACAGTTACAGCAATAGTTTTTTTTCCATTTAGGATAAAATGTTTATGTAAAGTAATACAAGCTGGCCATTGTGTAAGCACTCCTGTCATTGTTAACCACTTCAATACTGGGCACTTTTACCCCCTTCCTGCCCAGGCCAATTTTCAGATTTCAACACTGTCACGCTATGAATGACAATTGTGCGGTCATGCAACACTGTACCCATATGAAATTGTTATTGTTTTTTTTTTTTCAAACAAATAGAGCTTTCTTTTGGTGGTATTTAAGTTTTTTGCTAAAAAAAAAAAAAAAAACCCTGAAACTTTTGGAAAAAAATGCATTTTTCTTCATTTCTGTTATTACATTTTGCAAATAAATAAAATGTCTTCATAAATTTAGGTCAAAATGTATTCTGCTACATTTCTTTGATTAAAATACCCCAAGCTAGTGTATATTATTTAGTCTGTAGGAATGTTATAGAGTCCACAAACCAAGGAATATATATCTGACAATTGATCTATCCTGATGTACTGACAGCTGATCTCATTTCTTGAGGCCCGAAAATGCCAGGATAGTACAAATAACCCCCAAATCACCCATTTTTGGAAAATCGACAGTTCAAGGTATGTAGTAAAGAGGCATGGTGAGTTTTTTGGAGGTTGTAATTTTTTGTTACAATTTTTTGGAAAATGTAGAAATTTTAAAAAAATTAAACATTTTTTAAATTTTTTTTTACATATTGTCACCAGTCCAGTACAGCATTATTATATAACTAGTATGGCAGAGACACTGACTGGTGACAGTATGTAAAAAAAAAAATAAAATAATAAATAATATTCATTTAATTTGTATTTTTTTTCAAATGTTGTTTTTTTTTTATTTTTTTATTACATAATTTTTTCTTTTTTTTTTACTACTTTTTTTTTCAACACACTGTGACCAAAGCAATACAGTGTTACCATAGAACTACTCTGGGCAAGTGAACAGATTATGATTGCTAATACCAATGTATTTCATTGATATTTACAATCATTGTTACTGAATGAAACTAATTCATTCAGTCTTTTATTGTGATTAACTGTGATTGGGCATTAGCTGTGATGGGCTGTGAATGGCCCTGTCTGTATCATGTGACTGCTTTGACCAGTCACAGCTAACAAAATAATTGTATACAATGGATGGCATGACAGGAAGCCATCCATTGGATGCAATTGACATGTGATCTGCTGTGACTGGTCACAGTGGTCACATGACACTGGCAACAGGCCGGTGCTGTTGACAGATTGCGTTGCTGTGCGGCCCCGTTTGTGAGCGCTCTCGTTTTGACAGGAAGTCATATGACTCTAGCCTCTCCATTTCATTTAAACGTTTTTGTGGGCTTTCTTCAATAATACAATGCATCCTGTAAATTTCTTTTTATCTTTATGCTCACTGAAGATAATGGTTACAAAACTTCCATTCATCCCATGGCTGCTGGGTAACTTCCAAACTGAATGACATCCAAGATCTTCTCACCCCTTTCTCAGTGCACTGGCTGTCATGGATACACCTCCTGTAGTCCTCTGGACAACAGAGGTGACAAAGTCTTTATCCATCTAAAAGCACTGTAAGTGCAGTTGGTTAGGTGGCAATAGGGGGCACAGACCTTTTACTACAGATTTTTTTTTTTACATAAAAATCAAGCCTCTCAGCTCAGATACAAGTGAGGAATTTCAATATCTTGTCTTGTACCTGAACTACCAGAAGTGGCCTTACTTTCTATCTTTCCAGGATCACCACAGATGGCCACAAAGGATTTAACATGCTTTAGATGTGCCACAGCCAGAGCTATTATACCCAGACATTGGAATTCTAATGTCATACCTAGTATTAAAGAATGGATCTATGAATTAAATTATATTATGCATATGGAGGAACCGACAGCGAACTTACAGGAGAAATACTCTAAATTTATAACCAATTTTTGTACCTCAGATAGTTTGAGACCTGTGACCTAGCTTTCCATCATAGTTGAACATGGGAAATCGAGATGGAAAGTCTGAATGGAAGGGGTCCTCGCTTTTTTTTTTTTTCTTTTCTTTTCTTTTTCTTTCTATTCTTATTTTCTTCTTCTCTATTTTTTTTCTCCCTTCTCTCCCTCTTTGTTAGTTTCTGCTAGTTACTTTAAAGGTTTATGCACAGATATACATTTGAATAGCAAATAGGCTCAAATTGTGTTTTTGATTTACTCATGAAGTTAAAGAATTTTTGGTGTTTCAATAAAGCTTTGAACCCCCCCCCCCAAAAAAAAAAAAAAATTACTGCAGGATCAAACTACTACAAGTATTGTACCAGTGCCAATGCTGTAATAGCACATTAAGAATACTGTCCAACTTGATCCTTGGCCTTGCCCAAAAGCCTATTGATTCGATCCACTTTCAACCTCTAGAGACTTTGCTTGCCTGGCGATTTAGGCTTTAAAAACCTGCTTTTAATTTTGAATGGCTATGTGTGTAAGGTTTACAGCTGTCATGAACATTCTGCTTTTTGCATGTTGCTACACTTTTATAGAGGGATGATTATTAATTATTATAGAGGGATGCTCATTAATTGTTATATGTATTCCTATTTTGGCTGTTACTATAGATTAGAGAATACATTGTACAGAGGTACCTTGATGATGGTTTAATTGATGTAAATGCATACTAAATTAAACCTCTGTTTAATGCCATTTTGCAAGCAAATTTTATTTGGGGTTCTTTTGATGGCTAACAGACCCGAAAGCTGGAGATCATTTTTTTTTTTTACATATAATGCCATTGTGCACGTTCACAAAGAGTTATACAGTTAGTGAGAACTTACTAATTTGTTTCCATATTATCACATAAATGACAAGGATGAATGGCAGACATTAGTTTGGTGTCAGTCAGTGAAAGCTCCTGGAAATGAACCTTTGTTCTTAAAGGTATAAAAATAATCCCCCTGCGCTTCACAGGTGTGAACAAACACAACCCCAAATATATGCAAGCTGCTACCACCTATTCCCAATACCACAGGATGTATGACATAAAAAAAAACAATATTGGTGAAGCACTTCACATGAAAAACTAAATAAGTAGGTGCAATGATATAAAAATACATATAAAGTGACCACAATGTATTGAAAGGTATTGAAAGGTATAGATAACTAGTGCTAAATAATCCCCCCCAAAAAAATATATAAGTGCCAAGTGCTGAAAGTGCAAAACAGGTCATGATGATGAAACCACGTCATATCGTGGAGTAACGCGTAGAGCGCGGTGACGTACCGGTTACGCACTTTCGGCAGACGCCATCTTTGAACACCCAGTACCTTGCAGTACACCCACAGCACATGGGAGAC